CACTGGAAACCCCAAGAAAATGCAGCCCTCCCCTTCAGAGATGGGGTCCTGTGTCCCATGTGAGTATTGGCACTGGAGTTATGCAAGGAATCCCCTCTTTGCCCTACCATCTTTGCTGCAAGTAGGTCGGGCATTCGAAGACCCTGTTCATGGGAGTGCTGGGACAGCTGGATTCTTGTTCGGTTCTTGCTGCTCCCAAGAATGGAGCAGAGGATCATCTGCTGAGGCTAATTTTAGGTCTCCGAACGTTGCCGGTGTCCCTCTGAGCTCCTATTTGTGTGCAATCCCACAGCTCCCTGCTAAGAGCTATGTGAGAGTCCCGTACCCTCGTGTGTGAAGGCTTTGCTGGAGCATAGCGTCCCAGGGGTTAGGAAGAACTTTGGATTCCTCACTTACCTAAAGCATCTAAGCTGTATCAGATGCATGTGTGACCCCTTTTTTTAGCCTTAGGACCGTGCACACTTTGGACATTGCTTTGTGGGTGCCCACACACTGTGAGGTGGGAAGCAGGATGCAGCTTTCCAGCCTTTTACTGCTAAAAACGCAGCATTCAGTTCCTGTTGTCTTGGATGGGTGCTGCGGAACCTCTGGGTATGGAAATACCCCAAAGCCCACAGCCAGGAGCGATGAGAGCCCAGCTCCAGCCCTCTCTGTACTGCTGAATGGCTGCTGCACATCTGCCATCCCCGTTCCCCAGCCCAGCACAGTGTGAATGAAGCCTCTTGGCCTTTATCTTGTTTGTACACCCTCTGCACTTTCTGTGTTCCACTCACTCAAGTGGAGCTTCATTAAGCGCTGAGCTTTGCTAAGTTTTACGTCAAGGCAAGATGTGGCTCTGCAGTTTTGGCCTGTCTTTATTTTTAGCCCATGTAAGACATGGTTGATGATATCGGAAGGAAGTTGCACAGTCTTCTGAGCTCTGTGACTCATGCTGGATCAGGACTGAGGCTTCAATAGCCTCTGCTGTAACCCACAAGTGATGTAACTGGATGTGATGGGCCCTGCTAGATTTGGGGAAGGACAGAAGGGAGAGGGAAGCAGAGCTTTAGAAGATTTTGGATTTTTAAGCCATTCTATTAAGTCATTGGATTAATCAAGTAAAAAATATGACATATTGCACATGAGCGTGGTTCAGGAGGGTCCTTTTTCTTCTCCTTGTACCCATATGGGAGAGGTGAAAGGGGGAGGAACTCTGCTTATATGCCAGGTTAGGTAACTGTTTAGCAGCACATAGGTAGACAGCAGCTTTTAGGACAGGAAACAAAGCAGGATCCTGTCTCTGGTTCAAGCCCACAGAGAGGTCTGGTGCAGCAGAACAGACCAGCCTGAAGTGGGAATGGGCTGGGACCGGAGAGCAGACACTCAGGAGGTGCCTGCCAGGCTGCAGCAAGAAGAGTCTGGGACCCCCATTTCCACCGAAAGCTGGTACTGAGACAAGGTGGAAAGAGATCCTGACCTGCAGGCAGATGTGTTGTGCTGGGCTGAGCAAGGGCTGTGAGTCACCACCATGGAGAAGGCAGCATGGGACAGTCAATGATGCTGAAGCATCCCTGCCTGCCACAGCACAATGGGGGTTGCAGCTAGAAAGGCCTCTACACCTCAAGTCTGGCTGCTGTGTCATGCATTAGGACCAGACACAGTGAGGTGTGAGGCACCAGGTACAGAGTAGGCACCTTGCCCAAGAAACATGTGGGGATGATGCTTGGGGTGTGTGCTTCCACCTCAGCTCCCTTCCTTCCTCAGGGTGATGAACAGGAGCACGTTGAGGCATTTGGATGTTGTGCAGCAGGTTTTACGTGTAGGGGAGGGGACAGCAAGGTTGGGGGAGCAGAGACAGAGAAGGGAGGCAGGAGCATGCTTGGGGGGATTGCTATGGCAACTTGCCACTGCCAGCATCGCTGCTCTGTGCTTTCCACAGCGCACAGTGAAGGAGTAGCCAGGGCAAATCTGCAACCTGCCACAGCCCTTGATGCAGCCCCATCCCAGCCACGCCATGGGCTCAGCACCACTGGGCCCCTGCATGGCATCCAGCATCCAGAGCCATTCTCATCCATCAGCAGTGTTTTGTCCACCTCCTCCCCTCTTTCGCCCCTCACTGGGGAAGGGTCAGGCAGCTCCTGTTTGCAGACCTGTTGTGTTTGAAGGCTTGAGTTGCAGAGCAGGCTAAACCAGAAAGAAAACCAGTCTCCTGAGCCCTCTCACTGCACCACCGAGGAAAGCAAGTCATTCTGCTGCCCTTGCTTATCCTCAGTTAATCAATGTAAGTGGCTCCAGTCATGCATGTGTCTTCCCAGGATGCCTGGCCCTGTACAGAGCCATCCACCTCTCACAGCCAGTTTGCCTTGCTCTGGGGTATCTGTACTGTGAGGGAGAGCAGAAGCCCTGGTGAGCCCTCTGAGGCAGGTAAATGAGAGGTTAGGCGTTTCTGAAGCTGCCTTTGGGCAGACCCATTGCCACGTGCTGGTGCAGAGCTGGCTCCTGTTGCTGAAGGAAGCAGGGAACACCATGATACTGCTGTGCAGAGAGAATAGGTCAGGAAACCAGCTCCAGCCTGGCCATGTTGTGTACTGTGACCTGACCTGTTGTCCGTGATTTGCCTAAAGCCCTGGGACAGGCTGGCAGCAAGCTACTTTGCCCATCTCAGTGTGGATGGCTGTGTGATCTGTAGAGCTCTCTCATGACACCTCCCGAAGGTCAGTGCTCACAGAGCTGCAATGCCCTGCCTGCAGCTCTGCATCCAGAACAGAGGGGAAGAGGCCTGCCCCACTGCTTCCACCTTTGGAGGATGCCCTGAGCTCACGTGTGTGGGGTTGCCATGGGTTGCTGCTGTGGTGCCTGTGATCAGTTTGTCTGGGGTTGGGATGTTGAGGCAGAACTGGGGAGGAAAGGATGCCTGTTTGTGAGCTGCCCATCAGCACTGTGCTCACAAGTGTTACTTCTCCATCCAGCCCTGAACGAGGGGACAAAGCCTCAGAAACTCCCCTGAAAACCATTTCACCATTCCCAATCTGCCATCATGACCCCTCCTATTTAGGGTGATTATAAGATCTGTACAGACCGTGCAATGCTGCGGTCCCAGATCACCCATTCAGTACTTAAAAGGGACCTATAAGAAAGATGGGGAGAGATTTTTCAGCAGGGCCTGTTGCAACAGAATGAGGAGTGATGGTTTTAAACAAAGAGGGAGATGGATGTGAGGAAGGAATTCTTTACAAAGAGGATGTAAAACACTGGCACAGGTTGCCCAGAGAGGTGTTGGATGCACCACTCCTGGAGACATTCAAGGCCAGCTTGGACATGGTTCTGGGCAACCTGATCTAGTTGAAGATGTCCCTGCTCATTGCAGGGGAATGGACTAGGTGAGCTTTCCAACCCAAACCATTCTGTGATTAGAACTCTTGAACAGGCTGGATATGTTTGGAAAATGTCCCCTGGCCTCCAGACCCTGGTGTTCCCAAGGGAGAATACCTCCTTATTTAGGAGGTGGAAGCTGGAACATGGTGCCTCTGGGAAAACTGCAGCAGAGAGCAGTGTGCTTCCTCCCTCCCTCCCATTTCCTGCAGGTTCCTTCCCTTTTCAGAAGGGAACAGCTTGCTTCCCATGGAGGACGCTGGGATGCTGGTACCTCACCCTGAAGGCAATTCCAGGTCAGCAGCTTGAGCACTGCTCTTCATATGTGTGACCTTCTGGTGTTTATAATATATTATGGGTGTGGATGATGGTGGAGAGTGGTCAGAATCCAAACTGTACTTTCCTCTTACCCCTCTTATGCATCCTGTTGTTTCTGATCTGCCCTCCAGACCATGGCCTCAAGATGTGCCATGAACCATACCATGAAGTGGATGCAGAGCCCATCAGAGAGGGCTCTGGGTTATGGATGTGTGCTGGGGTGTCAATGTCAGTTTCTAGGGCAGATGGTGCTCTCTCTGTTGCCATTTCTACAGCACCTTGCCCGAGACTCAACTCCTGGGTGCTGTGACCTGATGGGGTATAACTGTGTCATCTCTGAAGTGCTGCTCCCTTTTACTGCCTTGCCTGCTCCTACTGCAAGCACAAAGGATCAGAAAAGCCCAAAGGTGATGCGGTCACATACTCTTCCCCCAGTCTGGGGACTATTTAAGACAGGCAGTGCTGGAATAACCATTTAGGGAGAGGCAGCCAAGAGAGATTTCCTCCTGGCTGAGCCGTGGTGTTGAAGTTTGGAAAGTCCTGTGTGGGTTACGTGCTGCTGCACTTCACTGCTGCCATCGCCTTAGGCAAGTCGTGGACGTGCAAACCTGCTAATAGTGGGGACACCATGCTGAGCAAATGGCCAGTGTCCTTTCGGGCATCAGGAGCAACCTGAATGGTGCTGCTGTGGAAAGAGAGCTGGGGATTACAGCAGAGAGATGATGGATCATTGGAACCAAGAGGAAGCTGTGACTCGGTGGATGTTTCTACCTGCATCCATTAGCCTGTGAGGTGATAGCTAAGCCCAGCAGTGTTGTATGGATTGCCCGATCTGGAAGATGCATAACAAATAGCTTGCAAGAGCCAACTCTTTGCTCAACTTGGAAGTGGAGGAGATGCCTGGACTCTGTGCAATGGGGGTTTCTTGCTGCCATTCAGCAGAGCTGTAGTGGTGCAGAGAGCACAGCACAGGCAGGTTAGCACGGTCACTCTGGTCCTTTCTACACCAGTGTTTGCACTGCTGGTGAGGTTAACATAGCTGGGCCAGTGGTGTAGGGAGGGCAAGTTCAAAGTCCTCACTGCTGTGGCGTGTGGCAGAACAAAGCCACTATGGCATCAAGGACTGGGTCTGAGCTTTGCTTTCAGTTCATCTTCTAGGAGCAGCAACAGCATCCAGCATCAGTATGAGCAGTTTTTGAGGAACTAGAACGTTCTCAGGCTTTTTGTCTGCTGACATCCTCCCTGCGCTGACGGCCTGAGGTCTTAAGGTATTTGCAATGGTCTGGCCTGGTCCTGTGATAAATCTGGACAGAGAGGACACAGAAACCAGCAGCATCAATCTGGCCCCCTGAAAGTGCTCCTGTTGCTGCTGTGCCTGTTCGTTGTAACTGAAGGGCTGTTCTGTGGCTTAGATTTACTGAGGAAACAGAGCTCCTATCTTTCTCCTGTGCAGCTATCTCCTTGGCAGCTCAGGAGGAATGATTTACTATAGATCACAGCTCTGTTTAATTCTGTTTCCCTTCAGTATCATACTGTCAGAGCAGCAGAGCAAAACGCAGTAGTGCTTCCGGAGGAAGGCTGCTATCAGAGGCCACCTCTGTAGCAGAGGCTGGAAGCAAGGAGGAACAGTTTACCAGGAAATGCCTGTGTTCATGTGCTGGTCGCTTTGGGGAAGGAAAAGGCATCTCCCACTTGAAAGCTTCCTCAATACACAACCCCAGGTTGTGTATGATGGAGCTGCACCAGTGTGAGCAGTACCAAGAACACTCACTTCTTCCCTCCAGAGCCTGGGAAAGGTCTGACCAAAGTTGTGGTCTGAAAGAAAAGTCAAATTCTGTCCTTAATCAAGCCCTAAAGTGGGAGTTTTTGAGTGTTTTTTGTTTGGGGGGGGTTTTGATGGTGGTGTTTTGATTTGGTTTGGACTTTTTTTGCTACCGAAAAGTCATTACTTGCACAAATCCTTGTAAGGAAAGAGCAGGGAATTTCCTTTGGAATTTGCCTGCCTGACACTCGATATGTCTCAGATGTGTGTTAACAGAGAAATGAAAAGATTGCGCCATAAAGTGATAGGGGATAATGAGTTTAATCTCTGTTTTGCTGTCCTGGGAGACAGAGCTGGGGCAAGGGTATTGGCACTAGCGTTATGGTTTTATGGCAACCACAGAAAATACCACCTTAACGTGTTTCCCTGGGGAAGGGTCTGTTTTCAGGGTCCCCAGCAAGGTGGAATAAAGGAACCAAAAGACCTGAGCGTGGGTAAAGATGCCAGGAGATTTTCAGATGAGAAGGATATAATACCTGTGTATTTTCTGCAGCTTGATCTCTGCTTTCCCATTCAGTGGCCCAGAAGGGCTCTTAACCTCACTGTGATCTTGAGAAATGCAGTAAAAAAACCCTTAACTTTAATAACGTTAGTGACACATCTAACCCAGGGCCTGAATGAGCCAATCTTTAGCTTCTCTGCCAACAAGGCAGATAAATGGGTGGTGATTTGCTACTGCCATCGGACATAGGGATTTTAAAGGATGCTGGAGTGGGTGAGCACTGTTGTGGAAACCTTAACTGGACAGCAGGCCCTCAAAAGGGTTTCTGGAGGTGTGTGGTGGAAGCAGAGAGGTTGACATCAGTACCTGGAAACTCATTGGCTCTGGAGCTGGACCAGAATATCCAAGAGGTTATTCAAACACATGAATCTTTTCAAGTAAAGAATGCAACCACGTTCTGTCAAGGAGCGCCCAGTCCCCTACCAGCCTTTTGGGATCCAGGACACTCTTCTTGTTTATAATGCTCTATCTGGGTCTTTAACTTGTTTGGGTTGGGTTTGGGGCTTTTTGTTCCTATGTGCCATACCTTGCTGTTCTGGGCCATGCTAAGTTACAGGCACTGGTGCAGAGCCCTGCATGTTCCCATTCTCTCTGGCACCAGGGAGCATGTGGGTCAGTCCATGGGACCAGTTGTAGCCCAGCAGAGCTGGGTGCAGTCCGAATGGCCAGCAGCAGAGTGGGGCCAGCTTCTGCTCCAAGGGAGGTGGGAACAGAGGAGGCTTGTAATTCAGGTAGCTGATTAATGTGGGGCATGTGGGTATCCTTATCTCTCCCCATCGCTGGGGTTTTCAGAGGAGATACCGTCCTTGCCCTACTCCCCATGTTGTACTGGGTGCTGCCTCCCTGCTCCCTGTCCTTTCACTGTGACTTAGGTTCCCTGTGGCCTGGGGTGGAGCAGGACCGGAAAGGGGCATAGGGGAAGTTACAGCAGCTGGTAGGAAATGGCATTTTGGGGTGCTGCAAAGCAGCCCTACCCCATCCTGTCTGCAGAGGTGGTGTTTTGGGGTGCAGCGGTGCAAGTCTGCTCTGTCTGCTGTGGAGCTGTGTTTTGGGGTGCTGCGGGGCAGCTCTGTTCCATCATTTTGGGGTGCCACAAAACAGTCCTTGCTGCATACTGCCTTATCCTGTGCCAGGGATCATGCTAGGGGAAGGAGGTCTGGCTGCACCTTCCATCCCCTCTGCATTCCCATTTGCGGGGCATATGATCATGACAGTCTGTGGCACTGCTTCCTCCCTTGTGTGATTTATGGGCTGCTGCTCAGGATATGGCTCTGGGCTTGTCTCAGACAAAGCAAGAATCCGGCGTGCTGTCATCACCCTTACCTATGTGCAGGCTGCAGAGGTAACATCATGGCATCCCTCTCTGTCTCTGCTTTGGGCATAGGGCAGTGGTTGTAACTGGGGACAGGAGCAGAGGAGTTCCTGATCCTGTGTGCTTCTTTCCTCAATCCCATTTCTTCCTTGCAGCCCCAAATCTGCCTGCATGGAACCTGTTTTGCAATAAACCTGCTGAACTGAAGGCAGGCAGAGTAAAACCAGGAGGCTATAAAACATTGTGAGCTCAACCCATGTGTCTGCAGCAGTGTGGGGCACACGGTCCCCACATGTACATGTTGGTACTAGTTTGTACTGATGATGAGGATGGTCAGAGCATCACCCCGTGCTTCCCATTGTGTGTATCCGATGTGTCCTCCAAGCCACTGTCAGCACAGCTCTTTTGTAGGTCCAGCTTCCCATGGATGGCTGCAACCTGCCTTGCTTGTCTGAAGCAGGTTTTATTTGAGGCAGTGCCCTAAGGGTTAAGCCACAGTTGTGGGATAGGGTTTGTAGCAGGAACAAAGAGGGCTTTTAAGGTCTGCGTTGGGCTGGGAATAGAGGGAATGGATTGAGCCTTTCCCAGTGTGTTGAATTACAAAGGTCATGGAGACCCTTTTGCTGGGAGGCAGCAGTGGTTGAGGTCGCTGCTGGAAGAGAGAGAAAAGAAATTGTGAAACTCAGTGAGAACAACTTCATGGGGAGCTTTAAGAGCAGAGTGAAAACTGGAATTGTATCCTGAGATGAATGAGTGGTGAACACAAGGCTGGGAGCCAGGAGGCCAGGACTGCAGGCTTTGTGCAGGCCTTCTGCCCTGGGACTTTGGGGCGGGTTGGTTTTGTTTTCCCCCTCCATGTAACATTTGCAGCTGCCCTTACACATGGCATGTGAATTTGCAGCATCACTCCTGTAGCCAGCTCTTGGGCCTCTCCAACCGGCTCTGAGCTGACGGAGGATGCAGAGAATAAGAGGCAATGCCTGGAAGGGAGGATCTCTCCAAAACGCAGGCAGAGGAGACAGCTCTGGGTGCCTGCAGGCACATTTTGCCTGGACAGAAGAGGGAATTTGACTTTTCAATGCCTGCCCAAGCTCAAACTGGATTTCTCACATGTACTCAAGGGGTAAAGCCCAGTTATAGCCCCTCTGCTTCATGCCATCTATTCAGGGTGCCGTGCGAGGGTCCAGCAATAGAAGCCAGGGAAGGGATGGATGGCAGAAACATCTGTTTCCCTTCCCACAGCAAGGTGGGAAGAGGACACAGCCCCTTTCCATCTCCAGCTTCGGATGGCACGAGCCAGCCGGCCGGCCCACCCAGGACGTGTATGGAGGGCTGCAGGATGTGCTGAGTCAACAAGAGCATCCCCTTGTTGAGGGTGGGGAGCTGATCGGGGCTGTGGAACAATAAGGGCTTCCAGCCTGCAGGAAGGATGAGCGCCAGCTGTGAAGCAAACGGTGGGCTTTCCAATTTTAGCCAACTTGGATTTGTGTTACCGACCAGAAAAGGCGGTTTAGTCCTTAAAACTTGGCACCTGGCCTTTCAGCTCCATTCCCTGGCACAGGATGATGGAGATCCCCCATTTCATGTAAAGAAGTTCCACATCTGGTCTTTATGTTGGATCAAACGACCTTGGATGTGATTCTTGGAGCAAAAGGCTGATGCTTCACTGGGCTCTGTCTAGGAGGTGAGAGCTGATCCCAGGGAATACTCCATGAGGGCCACTGCATCCACTACCTGTCTTAGCAGCCTGGAGGCTGCTCTACTGTCCAGACACCATGGGAGAGCTGTAGGGAGCACAGAGCTGCTGTGAGAGCCCAGAAATGGAAGGCTTCAGGGCTCTCAGAGACCATAACATCTGCCCGCCTTGGTAGATGGCCTGTTCTCAGATTTGTGCTCTGTGTGCCTGTTCTTGTAACCAGGAACCATTTCAACACAAGGGTCAACTTTGTGTACTTGTTGCTGCTTAGCATTGACATTGAGAAAGCCTGAACTTCTCCATCTGCTGTTGCCCAAAATCCTCTCTCTCATCCCCATCTTCTGGCATCACCTGTGCTGCAGAAGCATGCCGCTAACATAAAGGTGGGTGAGTAAACTCCTCTCTGCTGACAGGTCCCAGCCTGCTGACCTGAAACCTGCTGTTTGAAGGCAGCGAGGTCTTGTCACTGTACTTTGGAGAGATGCTCTGCCACTCTTCCTAGCCCCCTGGGCTGCAGAAGGGGAACCAAAGGCAGTTGCGAGGGATTCCCTAGGTCTGAGAGAGGTATCAGAAGCAAGCGCAGCTTTACTGTCTCTTCTCTGCTCTTCTGGGTGCTGCAGATGGGGTGTTACCCCTCTGTTAGTCACAAATGGGGGGCTGGAAGGAAATCATCATGGTCTGTCTTAAACTGGTCTGTCTCATAAGGTGAGCACTGTGGACTCCCCATCCTGCAGCCCCCTTAGAAGGACCCCCAGGAACTGAGGCATCCCGAGAGAGGAGGAGTGGTGTCCAGGGGGACTGTTGTTTTCTTTGCCCTGAGAAGGGAGAAAGGCTCTGTTTGTGATGGTCAGGAATGTAAAACTCCATTGAGAATCAGCAGTTCTGACCTATAGTCCTGAACTTTGGCAGAAAATTGGGTTTTGTCCCTTTTAATACATGATAGCCCAGCCTGAAATATTGTTCCTCCTCCCTTGGCTAAAGGACAGTCTAGCCTGGCTTTAATTCCTGGATGTCAGGGCTTCCTGACCCAGCTGGAGCTGTGTGACCCTGCTGGAGATGCAATGGTTGAGTGACTTGTCCTACTGCAGCACCAGCAAGCTTTGTGTGAGCAGTTCCATGTGCAGGCAAAACGCTGCAGCTGGCCAAGTACTCCTGGGTGGAAGGGATTGGAAGGGACCATTAACCACTCCTTGTCAGCGTGACTGTGACCCGTGGGATGTGGAGAGGAAAGGGTGAGAAAAGAGCCTGTGTCTGATCCCAGTGATTTCCTCCTGCAGTCAATGGGAAACGGATCCTCCAGTTACAACAGGCAGAGGCACAGGTCTGTGACTGGGTGTGCTGCACAGGCTGGTGTTCTCTGTGTGCGCCAGCGCTCTCATGTGTTCCTTGACACAGATGGATGTGCTGTGGTACGCAGAGCTGCTCGCCGGCTGGGAGGTGTGTGCTGCAGCTCTCAATGGGCTCCAGCATGGCTGCAGTGTGCTGTCTGCCTCTTGTCGCCTCTGCTGCCATGGTCCTGTGGTGCTGGGGGAGAGGTGAAGGGAAAGGATGTGGGGTAAAGCCTCTTTGGGCTTCAGCCCCTAACATTAGGGGCACTGCTATCAGGATGCAGCCTGCAGAGGATGTGTGTACATGGCATCGTGTGTCTGGCTTGTACAAGCCAGGTCTGGGAACTGGACCATACAAGCCCGTGGGCCCTTGTCATGGCTTAAGCCCAGCTGGTAACCCAGAACCATGCAGCCACTCACTTATCCTCCCTCGGATCCAGGTGGGATGGGGAGGAGAATGGAAAGAATATAAATCCCATGGGTTGAGATAAGAACAGCCCAGTAACTAAGGTATAATGTAAAACTACTGCTAGTAATAATGATAATTATAAGGGAAGTCACAAGTAGAGAAAATACGAAACTAAAAAGGGAAGGGGGGGGGGGGATAAACAGCAGTGGTGCCTAATACAATCACTCACCATCTGCTGACCAGTACCCAGCCTGTCTTGAGCAGTGATCTAGCCCTTCCAGGTAACTTCCCCCAGTTTCTATACCGGGCATGATGTATTCTGGCATGGAATACCCCTTTGAATAGTTTGGGTCAGGTGCCCTGTCTCTGCTTCCTCCTGGCTTCTTGTGTCACTGGCAGAGCATCAGAGCCTGAAAAGTGCTTGTTCAGAGTAGACATTATTGAGCAACAACTGAAACATCCGTTTGTTATCAGCGTTGCTCCCAGATTGAAACCAAAACACAGCCCTGCACCAGCTATAGGAAGGAGAAAAAACAGCAGCCACAGCTGAACGCAGGACAGCCCTGCATGTGCAGTGGCACCAGCTGGTACCCACCGTAGCCTTTCTGTCCTCCAAGAAGCTCTCAGTCAAACTGGGAAGCGGCACAGCCCCATGGGGCATGTTTGGCTGTACCCGAAGGCAGGTTAGTGGTGTGGATCCAGGCTGTGGCATCACCGGTAACCCTCCCACAGCCGGCGGTGCAGGGCTGATAAAGAAAGCACAGGGCTTGCCTGGAAGTCAGCCTCGAAGGAAGCCCTCTCCCAGCATCGCTCCTTATCTCAGCTGGCACAGGGCAGTGCTCCCTCCCAGCCTGCCCTGGCTCCCGCAGTGGACCTGAGCCAGCGTGGCTCTGTGTGTGTGTGTGCTGTGGGAGGCACTGAGCCTCTGGCACGGGCTCCCTGCTCCGTTTGCTGCCCTGCAGAGCGTGTGGCATGGGTCGCACGCAGCGGCACACGTGTGGGTGCAGTGGTAGCGAGGGGTGCGAACGGAGGCGATGAGCCAGAGGGAAGCAAAGACACGTGCTCGCCCAGGGATGGGCTGTAAGGAAGAGCGCTGGGTCTCCAAGGGATGGGGTAGGGGATGGAGGAGAACTTGGGAAGCCAGGGCAACTAAGATGATTAAGGGAGTGGAGCATCTCCCTTATGAGGAAAGACTGAGGGAGCTGGGTCTCTATAGTTTGGAGGAGACTGAGGGGTGACCTTATTAGTGTATATAAATATATAAAGGGGGAGTGTCACGAGGATGGAGCCAGGCTCTTCTCAGTGGCAAACAATGATAGGACAAGGGGCAATGGGTACAAACTGGAACACAAGAGGTTCCACTTAAACTTGAGAAGAAACTTCTTCTCAGTGAGGGTGACGGAACACTGGAACAGGCTGCCCAGGGAGGTTGTGGAGTCTCCTTCCCTGGAGACATTCAAAACCCGCCTGGACACGTTCCTGTGTAACCTTATCTAGGTGTTCCTGCTCCGGCAGGGGGATTGGACTAGATGATCTTTTGAGGTCCCTTCCAATCTCTAACATACTGTGATACTGTGTGATACTGTGACGTTGTGTGTTGAAGCAGTGCCCATGGCTTGGGAATGGGCTGGGATCTGACTCAGCTGTGTGCAGAACATGTGCCTTGCACATGTAAAATCAACCAGGTTGGAAAAGACTTCTAAGATCATTGAGTCCAGCTCTTTCCCTGGGACTGCTAAGACTAACCCATGTCACCAAGGGCCTCATCTGCACCATGTGTGAGCACCTCCAGGGATGGTGACTCCAGCACTGCCCTGGGCAGCCTGTTCCAATGCCTGAGCACCCTCTTGGTGAAAAAATCATTCCTAATATCCCATTTAAATCTTTCCTGGCTCAGCTTTAGGCCATTACTTCTTGTCCTATGACTTATTACTTGGGAGAAGAGACATCTCCAGCCATGGATACCTTGCTGTCCCAGGATGGGCTGGGGCATCCTTAATGCTGAGGCCTTTGCAGGAGGGACCAAAGATGAGCACAAGGGAGCAGTGCACTGACCAGGTATCCCAGCCGCCAGTGCATGGGGTGGATCTTTGTCCCTGGGCTGTTCAGTTTCTATTTAGCTCTCAGTCGATCTCTTCAGAGTTTGGCTGCTGATGGTCCTGCCTATCACTGCTGAGGACAGGTCACTCATGGGCATGATGAAGATACCACAGCACTGAACCCAAAGCTCTGTGTATTTAGGACCAGACTTCCCAGAGCAGGTATTTGGGATATCCCAGCTCAGGATAACATAAGTTTGTTGCAGGTTTGCTATTGGTACCAACCAGGGCAAGGATCAAACACTGGAAACCAGCCCCCACTGCTCTCAGTGTTGAGGTGAATCTTTATATCCAACATCCCCAAGGTGTGCAAGTGCCTGCTGCATGCAGGTACCTCCTGTTTGCCCTGCTGGCGCCCTTGGCTGGGCAGGATGGAGAGGCCTCCAGAGATGCTCTGCCATGGGGTTTCTGATGTACTGAAGCAGGCAGAGCCTGAGAGCAGTGGGTTCAAGCAGCCTGGGAAAGGGAAGGCAGCAAAGGGGGCTCTCACTGCTGCCAGGAGCTGTGGGTTTGGAGAGAAGCCGGAGCTGGGCTCTATCCTGGCAATTGCCCAGGCACAGGACGAGCATTAACGGCACAGAAGGGAAATTACAATTAGATATTAGGACAAATATTTCCCCAAAGGGCAGTTGGGCTCTGGAGCAGAGCCCAGAGAAAGGAGGCAGTGTCCACATTTGGAGACATTTAGCCCTTGGCAGAGGTAAACCTTAAGCAACCTGCTTCAGCTTGGGACCAAACCCCCTGATGTCCCTTCCCACCATTGTTATTCCCAAGTTCTGCAGTTCTTGGGGTGCTTGGTGATGTAACTTCTCATGTTGGACTCACCAGTCCCTTCTCCTCGCTTGGTTCATCTCATCCATGTGGTATTAGCAGTGCTGGGAGATGGAGGCACTGCCTTAGCAGCACTGCCCAGCTCTTGGATTGAGAGAGAAAGTTTAGATGTCCTGTGAGTCTATTCAGGCAAGCATCGAGTAGGATGGAAATCAAATATCACCTGAAAGAAGGCAAGCTTTATTTTAAATTGCCTAAGCAAAATCTGCACAATGAAAGCAAGGAATGAAAAATGTTCCAGTTATATCAAGCACAAGCAGGCTTCTCTTCTAAGGACCAGAGCCTCTGGATCACTTTGTAGTAGATGCCCCTTTTCTTTGACTTTTCCTTTAGTTAAACTAATAAGCTCTCCAATCAAAGAGAGCTGCAGCACCCGTCTCTCCATCGTTCCCACCCTGTGTGAGCACAAAGAGCCAGCTGGCAGGGAAGCTCGGGGTGTAAACCACTCGTCCTGCTCTGCTGGCAGGGCAGAGCTGTGATCAGTACCGGGCTGCTGGTGCTGTTGGGATGCTGGGGAGGACTCTGGCCCCAGCCCTCCAGCTGGAGGGGCTCCCCTTATCTTCCCCTTGTCTGTCCCAGAGACAGTGGTGATTGGAGCGGCAGTCACCAGTGGCCTTTTTAAAGGCTCCAGCTGCCTGACCATCCTGAGCACATGGAGGTTGAGATGCACCCAAAAGGCTGTCTGGAAAGCATTATTTGCTCACAGCGTTTTCTGT